GGGGGGGGGTGTAATTAAACCTGCTGCTGCTGAGCTGCTACAAGCTGCTTACTGCAAATGTAATGAGGGGAATTGGAGCCAGAACTCCCCTACAGTGTCATGCCCCCCTTTCCTGTCCCCTAGGAGCAGATGGGTGATGCCAGTGCCTGCCCTTCCCCACACCAGGGTCAGGGCTGTCCCTGGAAGAGGAGCAGTGCTGGCCTGGGAGAGCTGTGGGGGTGGCTGTGGTCTGACCCTTCCTTTGCCCCCCTCACAGATGGTGAGAGGCCTGGGGAGGTGATGGATCCCGGCCGGCGCACAGCAGCGGCCTCGGCAGCACGGAGGAGGAAAGCTGAGGACTCCAGCGAGAGCCATGAGGAGGATCTCATGGTAATGGGTGGGAAGGGGCCCATGGAGGTCACTGGTCCAACAGCAGTGCTCCAAGCCTTGTCCAGTTGAGGGCATCCAAGGAGGAGGAGGGTACAACCTGTGGTTGTATCCAGCAGCCCTCATGGTAGATAAAACCCTCTCAATATCCCACTGGAATGGGGTGGGATATCTCACCCCATGTCTTGCTCCCTGCTGTGTGTCATTACCCTGTCACTGGCCTCATCTGCTCTGTAATTCCTGCTTTGCTGGGCAGAACCAGCTGCTCCTGTGTCCTCTGATGCATCCTGCCAACCTCCATGTGTCCATCTTAGACTGGAGAGTCCCAGACTGGACCCAATATACCCCAGGTGCAGTCTCTAAGCAGAGGCTGGAGAGGGGATGTCTCCTTGCTAACAGCCTGGGAGGGACTTGATGTTGAAGCCAGGGGGTCATCCTGCTGTCCTCCCAATGTGTCACCAAGCCCCTGTCCAGCACTCTGGTGTCCCTGTTCAACGTGCTGTCACCAAGAGGACTTGGAGCAGTGCAGCCAGGTGAAATGGCAGGAAGAGGAAGTCATGGGGTATTCCCTGTGCCATCACAACAAGCAGGTCACTGCTGAGCTGCTGCTCTTCAGAAAGAAAGGACAGACAGACAAAGGAGGAGTAAGGTTCCTGGAGGAGGCACAGGCTGGGGCTGGGAACGAGGGCA